CCTTGGGTTGTGGTTACCTTTTGGCTGTGGCAGTTCAGACATTCCATCTGCATTCAGCACAGAAAGCAGGTGGAGGGACTGGTACCAGCCACTTCAGCACCCTTCTAAAAGCAAAGAAAAAGCTTTCCAAGAACCACTCGCCTTTTGTGGTCAGGATACTTATACCTTAAATTTTTAGTTCTTTTCAGTGGGAAGGTTGGACAAGATACATAGTCTTTTATGCTGCTGGGAATGCAAGTCCAATTTCTGTTTCACTCTGAAAACTTTGTACCTTTACTTTTATAAATATAAAAATTAAAAGTGAATATACGGAGCCGGGTGTGGTGGCTCATGCCTGTAATCCTAGCGCTCTGGGAGGCCGAGACAGGAGGATTGCTCAAGGTCAGAGGAGTTCGAAACCAGCCTGAGCAAGAGCGAGACCCCCGTCTCTACTAAAACTAGAAAGAAATTAATTGGCCAACTAAAAATATATAGAAAAAATTAGCCGGGCATGGTGGTGCATGTCTGTAGTCCCAGCTACTTGGGACGCTGAGGCAGGAGGATCGCCTGAACTAAGGAGTTTGAGGTTGCTGTGAGCCAGGCTGACGCCATGGCACTCTAGCAGAGGCAACAGAGTGAGACTCTGTCTCAAAAAAAAAAAAAAAAAGTGAATATACGAATAGATTGTTAATCCCTCCAAACCTACTTTTCCAGAGAATTATTGTCAATAGTTCAGGCATATTCTTTTATGTATGTACTTGATATTTATCTTAATTTTAAATATTACCATCATCCTTAATTTGTCATTTCGAGTATGAGGCTATACATACTATTCTGCAGTTGGATTTTTTTCACTTAGTATTTTCTAGATATTTTTCCCCGTCAGTACATGCATGTGTGCTCCTTCTTCTAACTGGTACGCCGCATTCTGTACTCGTTATTCTCCTGCCCTGGCAGATCCATTGTCTACCTTCTTTCCTCTGTGTGTTGGTGGCTCACCTTTATGAATGGAATCATCTGGACTTACTGGCCCTCTGGCTTCTGCTTGGAGATCAGTGCTAAAAGGCACCCACAGGAGAGTAGAGGGTAAGTGGTGAGAGGAGTCAGAGTGTTCCCATCTCCCACTGCCCTTGTCATGATCCTAGTAGCAGCTGTGCTCCTCTGTGGCCACTGCTCCTATTGAGTGATCTCTCTTCTCCAGCCAGCTTTTGCTGGCTCCAGTGACATCCTTTCTCTTCTTGCCCTTCCAAGCCGAAGGGCACAAGTGGCTTTTCTGCTGTGACCAGTCCCTAGATCCTTTACCATTCCTTGATGGTTGCTTTATGGCCTACTCACACTGCTGTAAAAAATCTGCCATTAAGCTGCTTCCTTCAGTTTATTCCTTTGCGTGTGCCATCTGTTTCCTGCCAAGACCTGAACTGATGCCACCGTGAGACCTACTGTAATTCATTTGTCAGGTTCCCTATTGTTGAGCATTTGAACTGTTTCTAGTATTTTGTTCTTGTTATCAGTGTTACTAATGACATTCGTGTACATGTCCTTTTAGTATTTGGTGGAGTTTTGGAAAAAGTCATAGAAATGCTGGGTCAAGGTGTGTGAATGTTGTAAATTTCAATAGCTACTTCTTTTTTTTTTTTTTTTTTTGAGACAGAGTCTCACTTTGTTGCCCAGGCTAGAGTGAGTGCGGTGGCATCAGCCTAGCTCACAGCAACCTCAAACTCCTGGGCTCAAGCAATCCTACTGCCTCAGCCTCCCGAGCAGCTGGGACTACAGGCATGCACCACCATGCCTGGCTAATTTTTTGTATATATATATTTTAGTTGGGTCAATTAATTTCTTTCTAGTTTTAGTAGAGACAGGGTCTGGCTCAGGCTGGTTTCGAACTCCTAACCTCGAGCAATCCACCCGCCTCAGCCTCCCAGAGAGCTAGGATTACAGGTGTGAGCCACCGCACCCAGCCTCAATAGCTACTTCTTAATTACTCCTGGGTCTACCAGTTTACATTTCTATGGTGTGGTGTTTGATATTTTCAGTATTAAAAAGTTATTGAGCCAATACTTGTGACTTATAACAAATATGTTTAATTCAAAAGTATGTAAAGAAAGAAGTAAAAGTCCTCCCCAGTCCCATCCACTTCTCATCACCACCTCCTACTCCTTAGAGGTAACCATGCTGACAGTTAGCTATGTAGCCTGTCAGACTCTTCCCCCCTTTTAATATTTGTATGCCTAGCATAGAATAAATGGAATAAATTTGTATATATGTATATGTAAAGCAGACTCATTCATACATATGTGTGTATGTATTTCTTTATCTGAGAGAGCTCATTTCTAGACTCCATTCTGTTCATTGATCTATTTTTTTCCTGTGCCAGTACCCATCTATCTTAATAATTATAGCTTTGACAATATAAAGGATATTAGAAACCAAGGAGAGGGGAAGGCAGGAGGGTGGATATGGGATAAAAACTTAACCTATTGGGTATAATGAACACTATTCTGGTGGTGGAGCACACCAAAAGCCTGACTTAAGCATTATACAAGATACCCATATAATAAAAACACTTTAATTAATATTAATTAATTAATATTTAAAAATATTAAAAAATTATAACTTTGAATTGGTTTCATATCTGGTAAGGCAAATTTTCATCTCATTATTTTTCAGAAATTTCTTGGATTGTCTTGGGTATGAACTCTTCAGATTATCTTTGTATCCAACTTCAAAAAATTAATGGATTTTGACTGGAATTAAACTGAATTTATGGAGAACAACATTTCAGGGGAACTGACATGTTTCCAATATTCAATCATCTCACTTAAGAACCTACTATTGGGCTGGGCGCGGTGGCTCACACCTGTAATCCTAGCACTCTGGGAGGCCGAGGCGGGTGGATTGCTCAAGGTCAGGAGTTTGAAACCAGCCTGAGCAAGAGCAAGACCCGTCTCTACTATAAATGGAAAGAAATTAATTGGCCAACTAAAAATATATAGAAAAAATTAGCCGGGCATGGTGGCGCATGCCTGTAGTCCCAGCTACTCGGGAGGCTGAGGCAGCAGGATTGCTTGAGCCCAGGAGATTGAGGTTGCTGTGAGCTAGGCTGATGCCTCGGCACTCACTCTAGCCTGGGCAACAAAGAGAGACTCTGTCTCAAAAAAAAAAAAAAAAAAAAAATGAACCTACTATTGTTTGCTTTTATCAGTATTAGGACTAAAAAAAAAAAGAAAAAGAAAAGAACCTATTATGTCTCTTTATTAACTCAGATCTTTTATATCCTTCGGTGAAAGTCTTGCCCATTTCTTGCTAAGTTTACTTTTAGGTATTTTATAGATTTTGTTGCCATCACAAATGGAATTTTTTCACCTTACATTTTCTAATTTATTATTGCTGGTATAGTTTTTAAGAAGCTGCTGATTGTTGTAAATTAATCTTACAATCATCACTTCTTGGCCTTTTGGCTAAGATCAAGTGTAATTTTATAATCACCTGTTTTATTGAACTTCCTATTAGTTCTAATGATTTTTCAGTTCATTCTCTTAGCTCTTGTAGGTGGACAATTATTTAATCTGCAAATTATAACTTTTAGTCATTTCATTATTAATATCTAGACATAATTTGTTTCTCTTGTGTTATTTTGTGGGTAGAATATCTGATTAGGTGTTGGGGGGGGCCTGATCCAGGGAAGTCTTCTCCACTGATATTACATTTTATATTTAAGGTGAGTATCAAAGGATGTGCAGCAGGTGCAATAGCCGGCTAGGTGGAGAATGTATTCCAGATAGGCCTTGAGGAGAGAGACATCAAGGCAGCTTTCAATGAATAGAAAGAAAAATGACATGATCTTAGGGCACAAATGAGGTTGGGAGAAATAAGAGATGGAGAAGTAAATAGGGGCTCAGTCAGAAGCTGCTAGGCTTTAAGGGGAAATTACTTTATTCAAAGGAATTGAAAATGTAATGAAAAGTATGTTAGGCAGAATGAGTCCCTAAAGATATCAACACCCTAATCCCTGGAACATATAAATACATTACCTGATATGGCACAAGGGACTTTGCAGATGTAATTAAGGATATGGACGTTAAAATGGGGTGATTATCCTGGATTATTCAAGTGGGCCAAATATAATAACATGAGCCCTGAAAAGCAAAGATGTTTCTCTGGTTGGAAGCAGAAGCAAGATGCGGTAGAAAGGGAAATTGGAAGGATTCAAAGAGTGAGAGAGGCTAAAGGGGTCCACATGGAAAGCATTAAAAGGACCACAGGAGCAAAGGCTGGCCCCTGTCTGGTAACCAGCAAGGAACTGGGGGCCTACAGTTACACGAACTGAATTCAGCCAACAGCCTGAATGAGCTTGGAAGTGGATTCTTCTCTAGGGCCTCCAGAAAGGAACACAGCCCTGCGGACTCTCCCTGGATTTGTCCTTGTGAGACGCTAAGCAAAGGACCCAGCTGAGCCACACTATACCTAGATTTTGACCTTCAGTACGCTGAGATAAATCTGTATTGTTTTAAACTGCTAAGTTTGTGGTACTCTGCTACAGCAGCAGTGGAAAACTAATAAAAAGGGGTTTAAGCAGGGAAATAACATTATCAGATTTTGTATTATTAAAAGACTTCTTGTGCTGCAGGGAAAATGGATTTGGAGAATGTAAATTTGGAGGCAGGGAAACTTGTTTGTGGGAATACAGTTATGGCACGGACTAGGGTAGTGATTGTGGGAAGGGGGATATGATTTAAGATTTATTTGTAGGTTAGAATTGCCAGAACTTGGTCATTGACTAGATGTCGGGGATTGGGGTGGGGAAGCAAGGATGACTGCTGATTTTTGGCTTAGGTGCTGGATGATGGTGACGCCACTCCCTTGAGCAGGTTGGAAGATGCATGTCATGAAAGTGGTAACTCTAGGTTGTTCTTCATTTGGGAATTCTGTCTATAGATACTTTATTTTAAGATAGAGTATATCAATAAGATGAGTACTTTATCTTTTAAGAACTAAATTGTTTTGTTTTGTTTTGTTTTTAGGTCATGTAGGAAATTGTAAATCATGTGAAGATGGGACTCTTGGTATTTGTGCGCAATCTGCTGCTAGCATTCTGCCTCTTTCTGGTACTGGGATTTTTGTATTACTCCGCATGGAAGCTACACTTACTCCATTCCAGTAAGTATGGTCACTGTAGCCTACCCCGGGAAAAGCCCATTGCAGGTCAGTTACTGGTTTTTCATGTGGCTGCAGTGCTCTCATATTCTTCAGAGTTGAGCAGTGAGTATAAACTGAATGTTTCTGGGACTAGGCTTAGAAATTGCTTACCATTTTAGTTGGTGTAGGCTAGGCACTTTGATGTTTTTAAAAAACTGCATGCCATAGCAAATATCAGGGTTTTTTGGTGGTTTTTTTTTTTCAGAATATTACAGTACAAATATTTTGATTACATAAATTGCTTTTGTACAGTTTGAGTCAAAGTTATAAATGCACCCATCACCCACATAGTGTGTATTGTACCTGTTAGATGTGAATTTACTCATCTTTTCCTCCCCCCCACCTACTTGATTTCTGATGAGTCTTATTTTTATATGTGCACGTAAGTGTCCAGTTTAATGGTGAGTACATGTGGTGTTTGTTTTTCCATTCTTGTGACACTTCACTTAGAAGAATGGTGTCCAGTTCCATCTAGGTTAATACAAGAGGTTCACCATTTTTTTTCATGGCTGAGTACACATGGTACATGTATACCACATTTTATTAATCCACTTATGTATTAATGGGCGCTTGGGTTGTTTCCACATCTTTGCAATTGTGAATTGTGCTGCTATAAACATTCAGTTGCAGGAGTCTTTTTTATAAAATGTACTTTTTTTCCTTTGGGTAAATACCCAGTATTGGGATTGCTGGATCAAATGGTAGGTCTACTTTTAGTTCTTTGAAGTATCTCCATACTACTTTCCATAGAGGTTGGACTAGTTTGCAGTCCCACCAACAGTGTATAAGTGTTCCTATCTATCTGCATCTATGTCAGCATCTGTTGTTTTGGGATTTTTTGAGAAAAGCCATTCTTACTGGAGTTAGGTAATATCTCATTGTGGTTTTGATTTGCAATGATTAGAGATGTTGAGCATTTTTTCATAATTTTTTTTTGGCCATTAGTCTATCTTTTGAAAAGTTTCTGTTCATGTATTTTGCCCACTTTTTTTTTTTTTCCATTTACAAACATGTTTAATAGCAGCATTTTTTATATTAAAGAAAAACAAAGTTCAAATGCCCAACAATGACATTTAACACTTGGTACACATATGAATAAAGACAAAAAGCTGCTAAACTGCATTTAATTAAAAGTATTAGAAGCACATGGGTACAATTAGCTGTAATTTAGGCTCTCCCCATCAGGCAATGACAACACACTGGACCACTAGCTCTGCTGGCTCAGAAAAAGTGTTTGGCCTGTGGCTCCACACTTTTAATCCTAACCTGGTTCCAATTTCAGGAGCCCAATCCATGCCTTTGGTTACCTGAGACTTTTAAGCAGCAGTATGAACCTTAAATGCCAGCACCGAACCAAGCGAAGGCTCTTATAAGATTCCAAATCTGTTACTTAAAATACCTTTCAGTTAAAAAGGAGGAGAGAAGAAACTTATCAGAACACGGCCACCTAGGAATGTTCTTAGCCTCTCCATTCAGCTTTTGGCTGACATACTAAACTATAAATAATAAATACAACCTTTCCCCAGCAGCTTCTGGGGCTTGGTCGACAGTGTTCGGAAAGATACATTGCCTAACTGGTCAGGCTAGTGATGTAGCTTCAGCGGCCTCTGAAAATGAGGCCTCGCCAACCCCCAGTGGACAGACACATAGTATCCAGCACCAGTCCTCGGGCCTTCCCTCCGAGTTTCACAAGCAGGATCCATGTGAGGGAAGCAGCCCATATTTCTGTTGGAGGATGGCTGTCGTACTTTCCAGGCGCAGCCTGGACGAATGATGCCAAACTTTCCAGGTACAGATAAATCAACCACAATTGAGCCGAGGTGACACTCAGCGCTCTGGCCATCCCCAATTGATCCCCTATCAATGACCAAGGACAAATGAGGCCAGAGGTCTTGGAACTCTTCAACATTCAGAGAACTGCCCTGGGAGCTGAGGTTGGCACTAGTGAGAGCAAGAGATCCCCCAAACATCTGGGCCAAGTCTTGCATAAAGGCATGGTGAAGAATCCAGATGCCTACAAGAAGAATAAAGGGGTTCAGATCCTTGTTGAGAGCCTCCGAGTGTTCCATCACCAGGCTCACTGGTCCTGGCAACAGGTCTTTCAGGAGCTCCTCAGGTACTCTCACATGGCAGTACCTGGGAAACAAAGGAGCATAAATCCATTCAAATTGAAGGGCCATTGGCAGTCCTTTCCCATATTCTAGGCAGACCCAGGAAAAGGGTCCATCTCGGACTACAACAGCTGCACTGCTGTGATACTGGGTTAGCAGTATCAAATTCAGTGGTTTTTTTTCTTCAGGATATTTGCTACTGTATTAAGCTACTGTGTTTGTTTCCTGTTTTTCTTCTGCCCTGATTAGCACAAAAGCACCAAAAGAATAGGGCACTTGCCTGCCTTGTGCATCGCTGCGTCGCAGCATGTCGTTTGGGGCCAGGCACACATTAAGTGCTCAGTACACATTTCCAGTTCTGGATTCTCTGGTGAACCTGGACAAGCCTTTTGCCCACTTTTTAATGGGGTTGTTTGATTTTTTTTTTTTTTTTTTGCTGATTTGCTTCAGTTCTTTGTAGATTCTAGTTATCAGACCTTCCTTGGATATATAACATGCTTTTAGTTTCTCCTATTCTATAGGTTGTGTATTCACTCTGTTGATTGCTTCCTTGGCTATGCAGAAGAAACTTTTTAATTTGATCAGGTCCCATTTGTTTATTTTTGTTGTTGCTGTGATTGCTTTTGGGGTCTTCTTCATAAATTCTTTCCCTATGCCCATGTCTATAAGAGTTTTTCCAACATTTTCTTTTAGAATTCTTATAGTTCAGTGCCTTCACTTTAAGTCTATTATCCATCATGAATTAATTTTTGTGAGTGGTGAAAGGTTGCAGATCCTGTTTCAATCTTCCACATGTGGCTACCAGTTTTCCCAGCACAATTTATTAAACAGGGATTCTTTCCCCTATTATATGTTTTTGTCTGCTTTGTCAAAGATCAGATGGCAATATGAAGATGGTTTTATATCTGAGTTCTCTGTTCTGATCCATTGGTATATGTCTCTATTCTTGTGTCAATGCCATGCTGTTTTGGTTACTATAGCTTTGTAGTATATCTTGAAGTCTGATAAAGTGAGGCCTCTTGATTTGTTCTTTTTGCTTAAGATTACCTTGGCTATTTGGCTCTTTTCTGTTTCCATATGAAGTGTAGAATTATTTTTTCTAGTTTGCGAAAAATGACATTGGGATTGTAATGGGAATTGCATTGAATTTGTAAATCACTTTAGGTAGTATAGACATTTTAACAATGTTGATTCTGCCAGTCCATGAACTTGATATGTTTTTCCATTTGTTTACATCCTCTGCATTTTCTTTCCTCAGTGTTTCATAGTTCTCACTGTATAGGTCTTTTACTTCCTTGGTTAAATATATTCCTAGATATTTCATTTTCTTTGTTGCTATTGCGAAAGGTATTGAGTCTTTGATTTGATTCTCAGCTTGACTATTATTGGCTTATAGGAATGCTACTGATTTGTGTGCATTGATTTTGTAACTTGAGACTTTGCTGAATTTATTTATCAATTCCAGGAGTCTCTTGGCAGAATCTTTGGGCTTTTTTAGATATATTAATAAGATCATATCATCAGCAAAGAGCAATAGTTTGACCTCTTCTTTCCCCATTTGGATACCCTTGATTTTCTTTTCTTGCCTGATTGCTCTTGCTAGGACTTTCAGCATTATGTGGGCAACCTTGTATGGTCCCAGTTCTAAGCAAGAATGCTCTCAGTTTTTCCCCATTAGGTATGATGTTGGCTGTGGGTTTGTCATAAATGGCTTTTATAATTTTGAGGTAGGTTCCCTCTATACTTAACTTTGTTAAGAATTCTTATCATAAAAGGGTGCTGAATTTTGTCAAATACTTTTTCTGCAACTATTGAGAGGATCATATGTTCTTTGTTTTTGCTTTTACTTGTGTAGTGAATCACATTTATAGATTTGCATATATTGAACTATCCTTTCATCTTTGGGATGAAATCCACCTGGTCATGGTGGGTTATTTTTATCGATGCACAGCTGAATTTGGTTTGTTAGGATTTTATTGAGATTTTTTGCATCCTATATACATAAGGAATATTGTTCTTTAGTTTTCTTCTTTTGTTGTGTCCTTTCCTGGCTTTGGTATCAAGATGATATTGGCTTGGTAGAACAAATTGGGGAGGATTCGTTGCTTCTCAATGTTACAAAATAATTTCCGCAGTATAGGTACTAGTTCTTCTTTGTAGCTCTGGTAAAATTCAGCTATGAAAACATGTGATTAGGGACTATTTTTGTTGGAAGATTTTTTTTTTTTTTTTTGAGACAGAGTCTCACTTTGTTGTCCAGGGTAGAGTGAGTGCTGTGGCGTCAGCCTAGCTCACAGCAACCTCAAACTCCTGGGCTCAAGCAATCCTCCTGCTGAAGCCTCTCGAGTAGCTGGGACTATAGGCATGTGCCACCATGCCCAGCTAATTTTTTCTATATATATTAGTTAGCCAATTAATTTCTTTCTATTTATAGTAGAGACAGGGTCTTGCTCTTGCTCAGGCTGGTTTCAAACTCCTGACCTCGTGCAACCCTGCAACCCTCCCGCTTTGGCCTCCCAGAGTGCTAGGATTACAGGCGTGAGCTACCGTGCCCGGCCAAGATTTTTTTTTATTGCTGCTTCAATTTTGTTACTTGATATTGGTCTGTTCAGGAGTCCTATTTCTTCCTGATTGAGCCTAGGGAGGTTGTGTGTTTCTAGGAATTTGCCTATTTCCTCAGTGTTTTCAAGTTTATGTGCATAGAGATTTTTATAATATTCAGAGATATTTTGTATACTGTTTCCATAGCATCAGTTGTAATATCTGCTCTTTCATTTCTGATTGAGTTTATTAGACTTTCTTTTCTGTCTCTGGTTAATCTAGTGAGAGGCTTGTCAATTTTGTTAATCT